CTGGCAGATTACGGGCCTCCCATTGCTGCTGCCAGGCCCGTAATCTGCCATGGGCCCCCGTACCGCCTCCTCATGCTGCTGCCAGGTCCAGAGTGTCTCATGGGTCCCTGTACGGCCTCCCATTGCTGCTGTCTCCATCACCACACTCTGCCATGTGCCACTTTCAGGTCTCCTCACACTGCTGGTGGGTTCCATTTTGTCATAGGGTGCTGGCAGATTACGGGCCTCCCATTGCTGCTGCCAGGCCCGTAATCTGTCATGGGCCCCGGTACCGCCTCCTCATGCTGCTGCCAGGTCCAGAGTCTCTCATGGGTCCCTGTACGGCCTCCCATTGCTGCTGTCTCCATCGCCACACTCTGCCATGTGCCACTTTCAGGTCTCCTCACACTGCTGGTGGGTTCCATTTTGTCATAGGGTGCTGGCAGATTACGGGCCTCCCATTGCTGCTGCCAGGCCCGTAATCTGCCATGGGCCCCCATACCGCCTCCTCATGCTGCTGCCAGGTCCAGAGTGTCTCATGGGTCCCTGTACGGCCTCCCATTGCTGCTGTCTCCATCGCCACACTCTGCCATGTGCCACTTTCAGGTCTCCTCCCACTGCTGGTGGGTTCCATTTTGTCATAGGGTGCTGGCAGATTACGGGCCTCCCATTGCTGCTGCCAGGCCCGTAATCTGCCATGGGCCCCCGTACCGACTCCTCATGCTGCTGCCAGGCCCGTAATCTGTCATGGGCCCCTGTACCGCCTCCTCATGCTGCTGCCAGGTCCAGAGTGTGTCATGGGTCCCTGTACGGCCTCCCATTGCTGCTGTCTCCATCGCCACACTCTGCCATGTGCCACTTTCAGGTCTCCTCACACTGCTGGTGGGTTCCATTTTGTCATAGGGTGCTGGCAGATTACGGGCCTCCCATTGCTGCTGCCAGGCCCGTAATCTGCCATGGGCCCCCGTACCGCCTCCTCATGCTGCTGCCAGGTCCAGAGTGTGTCATGGGTCCCTGTATGGCCTCCCATTGCTGCTGTCTCCATCGCCACACTCTGCCATGTGCCACTTTCAGGTCTCCTCACACTGCTGGTGGGTTCCATTTTGTCATAGGGTGCTGGCAGATTACGGGCCTCCCATTGCTGCTGCCAGGCCCGTAATCTGCCATGGGCCCCTGTACCGCCTCCTCATGCTGCTGCCAGGCCCGTAATCTGCCATGGGCCCCCGTACCGACTCCTCATGCTGCTGCCAGGCCCGTAATCTGTCATGGGCCCCCGTACCGCCTCCTCATGCTGCTGCCAGGTCCAGAGTGTGTCATGGGTCCCTGTACGGCCTCCCATTGCTGCTGTCTCCATCGCCACACTCTGCCATGTGCCACTTTCAGGTCTCCTCACACTGCTGGTGGGTTCCATTTTGTCATAGGGTGCTGTATGGCCTCCCATTGCTGCTGCCTCCACCGCCACACTGTGGCTCCACACTCTGGTTTTGGCCCCGTGACTGCCCAAATGAGTGAAGTGTGCGGTGATTCTAAGATCGACGGCACTCATCTGCATGTCATACTGACTGACAGTATTATTTCTCTTCCCCAGCAGACTCCAAGGGCATTTAAATTAAGGGTACAGTGTTCTGCACTAATATAAAGGCTCTCTGAAGCCTAAAAACACCCTTTTTATAAGTTAAATTCGCAGCGAATATATTCGCATCGAATCGAATTTATTCCTCGAATTCGCCGAATCAGCCGAATCGAATTTTTGAATACTTCGCTCATCTCTACTCACAATGTACTCAAAATTGGTAAATTATGGCCTAAAATCAAGATGGAAAGTGAGACCAAATCTCTCCTTTGGGACAGGGAAATGAATAAAAACCTGAAAGGTGTTCTATCTGATTTACCAGTCCATTCTCTATCCAAAACTAAAAAAAAAAAGTTTAATTGGTGTCCCACTTTTTCCTGGTGTAATTTTGAAGAACACTTGTTGAACATACCCAATAAAACATCATTAAAATGGAGCTTGACAATGCTTCTTGTCTACCTGAAAGTGTTGGAGCTTTGCCTGTCAAAATGGTTAAGTATCAGCCATAACAGCAGGATATCGAAGGCTTATGTAAGTATGCAGACTGTTATCAGTTATATGTCAGTTATCTCATACTGCTGAAGTTATTGTTTATATGTTGCTATAGTGACAACTTATGTTCAGTGCCAAGAAGAGAAAAGCCACTATGAACATGTATATAATTATACCAGAAATTCTAAGATAAGGTTTTATATCTATTCAGTAACATTTAATCGCCATGAATAACCCTTTCATGCTTAAGTAAATATAGAAAGAGATTATCACTGTAATCAAAGCAGTGGATTATTCATTGATACTATCATTGACATTTTTTGCAGTTCCCTTCTCCTTGAAGAATATTTTAAAAGCTATTTGCCTGCTTCCATGCACAGAGATGTAATCTATGTAGTGTTGTAGCCAATGGCTTTGAAATTCAACATAAAATGACAACCTTTAAGAGTTTTTCTTGCAACCATGATCAGACTTTTGGAAAGCACATTTTTACCAGACAAGCTCATAAAAATGTCCAAACCTTGCTGGGTTTCATTGGCACATAGGGGGATATAACTGTATCAGCTAAAATACAATGAATGGAAATGATCTGTTGAAATCTTTCACTGACTTAAGGATGATGTGCAGATGGGTGAGAATCATTAGGTTCCATGCATGGGAACCTCTAGTTATTGGCACCTTGTATAGCTTCCAACATTAGCACCCTATAAACATATTCTCAGTTATATCCTCTAACACAGGCATGTCCAAAGTCCGGCCCATGGGCCATTTACGGCCCGGGGGTCGGTTTAATACGGCCCTCCAACAGCCCTCCCTGCTCTGTGTAATGTGGCCCTCCCACGGCCCTCCCTTCTATGGCAGACAGTCTTCTGCTTGAGAGCAGAGGGCAGTGCGCATGCCTGACTGCAGCGCGTTCTCCCTGGTCTGTGTAAATGCGGCTGTCGCACGGCCCTCCCTTCTGTGGCAGACAGTCTTCTGCTTGAGAGCAGTGCGCATGCGTGACTGCGCCGCGCTGGGAGCGACAGAGGGCGGTGACGTCAGGGCCGGGCTTCCAGCGTGAAGTGTGTTTCTCTTCCCCTCCCGGCTGCCGAGCAGAGACTTCAGCTCCAGCTACCTTTTTCACCGTTCACATTAGTGCAGGTAAGTTTTTTTTTTTTAATTTATTTTCAATACATTGTGAAAACTCAGCTGTCAGTTGATCTTAATGTTATGAAATGAAAAGTATGTCGTTTGCAATTAACTTTGCATAAAATAATTTATTTGCATTTAATTGTAATGGTTCAAAGAATGTTCGGAAAAATGTTCGGCCCTCCACCATGTTCACTTCATCCAATCTGGCCCTCTTTGAAAAAAGTTTGGACACCCCTGCTCTAACATCTGTCTGTGTGCTACTTTTTAAAATTTCCACTCTGCATGTCTTCTTGTCTTGTTTTCCTGTTTCTCAAGTCTGTCACTCATTGTTTAGAAACTCTCAAAGTTCTCTAAATCATGAAAGTACAGTGCCAGATGACTATCAGATTCAGTTTCGTACAATGCAGATTTGGTCCAAAAGGAGGGAGGCATGGTGGTAAAACAGAAGGTGCGGGCACAAGTGTGATGGGGATGGTAAGGGGATTTTCACGTGCAGTGGTGAGTCGTTCCTCTGCAAAGAGCTGTCATGCTGTAGCTCCAGATGTTGGCAGCAGTCCTCCAGACCAGCAGCAGAGGTTGGGCAGAAGGAAGATGGTGGCTGTGTGAGCTTCCAGGGCGAAGATTATAGTGCCTGTGTGAGCTGCAGCAAAAAGTGGGGCGTATAGAGGTTGTATGATTGATGGGGCTAGACATGAGAAGGCCACCTGCTATTACAGCATAAAGTCACCTGCTGTAGACACTGCGCTGAATGTGCTCCGCACTGGCTATAGCTGTTGCTGGTTACATTTATATGTCAAAGCTACCACTGATATTTGGTAAAGTCTTTAGGATAAGCCAAAATGGAGCTCAGACCTGGTGCATACATTGTAGCAACACAGTAATAAATATGCTACGCTACCCCTACAGAGGGCCTGGCATTTAGTGACAGTGCTAATGATCTCCTCTTAACAATGAAAACCCTGCACAACAGACAAAACCAAAAGGAACCAAAAAAAAGAAAACATGGATGAATGTGATTATGGCTGCTGCAGGCTTCAAAATGTGTCTAGCTTCCACATTTGTGAGTCCTATGAGAGTGTATATAGACTGCGCTGCCATAAAATGTGAATCAAAATTATAAAACAATTTGCCACATGTGAAAATGCAAAAAATAAATAAAATAATAATAATATAAATAATAATAAATAAAAACCCTGTTTTGTCTTGGCTATACTGCCTTGCTCTGGATGAAAGGATCCATCCTTTCATGCTGTTTACGCTAAATTCTGACCCTACCATCAGAATGTTGCAGCAACCAGTATGCCCATTCTACTCTGACCTCTGACATCAACAAGTCATTTTCATCCACACAACTGACGCTCACTGGATATATTCTCTTTTTTGGAACATTCTCTGTAAACCCTAGAGATGGTTGTGCATGAAAATCCCAGTGGATCAGCAGTTTTTTAAATACTCAGACCAGCCCATCTGGCACCAACAACCATGCCACATTCAAGTCAATTAAATCCCCTTTCTACCCCATTCTGATGGTCGGTTTGACTTCAGCAAGTCCTCTTCACCACATCTACATGCCTAAATGCATTGAGTTGCTGCCATGTGATTGGCTGATTAGCAATTTTTGTTACCAAGCAACTGAACAGGTGTTCCTAATAAAGTGGCCAGTGAGTGTATATTTATTGATGCCATTTAATTGGACTAATTTTTCCAATATTCTTTCTCTTGTATTTTGCAGATGTATAAAATTTTGTCTATTCCCCACATTATAATGTTGAGAGACAGGCCTGGTGTATGCCATTTCAGAATACTGTAAATGAACTGTACTCACTATCAATTTAGAAGTCAAGTCTTGCGGCAGTCGATGTTTATTATACGATTCCATCACATACTGCAACAGTTGTATCTGTTCTTGTGTAAGTTCAGCTTTGACCTACATCAAAAACAAAAAATAAACTGTATGAAATTTGTAATATACAATATCTTTAGCTATTACAAAGTAACTCCAAGCAAGTCGATTTTATCTTTAGTTATGGGTTGAATGGTAAAAGCTCAGAGCATCTGTCAATAAAATCCTAAAGCACTTTCGTCTTGTGCTGAGAGCTTGGCGATTTGTGGTGAGGGACCTACATGATTTAGGAGCAGAGAAGCACCCAAGCATGAGGAGAGTATGCAGAATAGATGCAATAAAGTGAAAAACCAGTTCAGGACTTAATAGGAGAAGTGCAGTTTTAAAAGTTTAGGGGCATACTGTAAGTATTAGAACGTGGGAGGGATTAAAAGGAAACTTAAATTTTTTCAGTCAATTGTATTTTAGTTTTTATTTATTTATTTTTCTTATTTATTTATTTATATTTCCTTTTAACTGTGGATTTTCATCCATTATATGAATATGCATATAATTTAAGACAAAGGAAATGTAAAGCACTATGACTTAGCTAAGCAGGCAGCAAAGCAAACAAAACTTGATTTACAGTTCCCTTTGTTTGATTGTAATCTCCTACTGAGCCTACAAATAATGATGGAAAAAGTCCCTGCTCTGATACAATACTCACAGAAGTTCCATAAACAACAAGCTTCTTTCAGTACAGCTAAGATTTATAAAATGCTTTGACAGAAGATGAGCACTCCATCTTCTGGATATATAGAAGAGGACATGATGAGAAGGAACATGTAACCAGTTCCTTTTCTCCTGAAAAGCGCAACACTACATACTTAAAGCATAACTATGATCAAGATTTAAAATCATAAATTAATTCACACATTGTATTTCAGCTATGTCTAGCCTACTCTTGTTAATCTGAGTAATAATGATATTTGTAAACTTATTTTGTAAAGAATCCCACATCTTTACTGCCTTGAATTCTATGACACGTATTCACTATGTCCTGTAAGTAGGCACTGCTGTGTCACAAAATTCACAGAACTTGCCTTCTGAACTACAGAGGTGCTGAGAGGAAGAGTTTCAGGAGGTGGAGTCAGTCAGGAATAACTAGTTGCAGACAGAAAGGTACCATGGGATATGTAGTCCATAGACATTGAAAATAAACAGCAGAGGAGAATCTGCAAAGCATACAGGGACTCCTGGAAGTTGTGGAAAGAGATGTCCAGCAAGCAGGCAGCAATTACAGCTTCAAAGGCAATTTTTAAGTAAGCATACATTAGATTTGTAGCGCTACCCTCTTGTGAGCCGCTGAGTTTTTGGGTCCCCCTAAGCTCTGCACAGCCAGGCAACACATATATTCAACACTTTCATCCAAAATCAGTTTTTGTTGTTTTATTAGGAGTTAACAACTTGGATGGGGTCTAGGGGTATTTGTGATGACCAATGAAACTGAACAACTTGGAGGACAACTTCTTAGACAAAAATTGTAAGAGTCCAGCAAAAATCCCAAAAGAACACATGGATCCTAGCTCTCTACTCCTTCAGGAGTGGCACTCCCTTTTGACACATTAACACACAGTCTTTGCAAGGAGCACTTGGTTCCCTTAAGTTAACCTACTCAGACCCCAGATGAAAATCTCTTCATCCACCTGGCTGTCTTGAGGGTATCCCAGGGCAAGGGATACCAAGACACAGAAAGAAGGTGGTCCCAGGGAGAACTAGTTGGGTATTACCTCTGACCATCTCCTCCCTTCTTTGGCCCAGGGGGTGTAGAAATACTCACACTATGCTGTTCCTGTAGCTGTAAAGTTTGCATTTGCTTTCAGGCCTTACACTGGGCTGGCTCCTTCCCTGCTGACAAGACTGTCTTTCCCAGGTAACTGTGGGACAGTGGAGGTCCTTCTGTCCTGCTTCAGCCTGTAGGCAGACCCTCCATCTTCTGGGGCCCCCTCCCAGGCTTCACACCAGCAGCACCTCCTCACTCCGTCTTCCACCCAACTCCCTTGATAGCAAGGCTCTCTCATATTTATGGGCTGGTATACCACACTATCAAAGCCTCCCCTCTGGGATTGGTCAGACTCCCATGAAAATGCAGATTGAAGTCTCCACCCTTCTGCCCTTTGGCTTCTGGAAACTTGGAAGCTTCCATGGACCTCCAGAACCAGGTGGAGGTGAAAGAGTCCACACCTGCTGAGCCATCCAGCCTGACCACACACTGAACCCACAGTAATTCAGGCTCACTCACTACCATGAGCCAAAAATACATTTACCTCACACTAGCCCCACCTAGTGGGTGTCACAAATTGCTAAAAATAAATATTGTTTACAATTTGCTATTACAATGTTGATGTTAAAAAGTGAAAGAGTATGTTGTGACCATTGAATTCCTTTAAAGCCCCACTCCAGGATGTTAGCTTTAAACACACCCTCCCAACCCCCCAAGCTAACCATTGGTATGTAAAAACTATTTAAAGGCCCATTTTATTTACCTGAAGCCATGCTCACATGTTGATCCTTCACTCTTCTTCTCTTTACTTCCTGGGGTATATCTTCAGGTGTCCACATCACTGCCTACACGATGTGGGCACCTCTTATAGGTGAAGCGAAACCTTCCAGCAGCAGGGTCCTATTTCTTAGGCTCCACAGCCAGGAGAACTCATGGGGGCAGTGAGGGGACTAGTTCTCAAAAGGATATTGAGCAGGGAAAAATGTCTGGTCTCCAGGGCAGGAAATTAGCTTGGCTCATAAAGGACACTCTGACTTTGATCTATTACACTGCAGCATAACTTATGAAGAGGTGTTTGGAATCAAGACTGAGGAATGAGGTCACTTATGTGCAGTGCACTATTTAAACTTAATTTTTGCCTGGCATTGGGTTTAGTTATTATTTATTGATCAGTAAAGCTGGCAATCTGTCTAACATTCTTTTTTTTCTCTGATTTGAAAATCCAATACACATTTTATCTATTCCCCATGTTGAGAGACAACCCATTTCAGTAAAAAACCATGGAAAAGATTATTGTCAATGAATTACTGGGTAAGTACCTGAGTCCCTGAATGAGTAGTCTGGTAGTCTATGGAGTTTCTAATGAAAGATATACAATCTGACAATATTTAATGTTACTAAATATATTGTATGTTATAAAGTACTGCATTAATATTACCTAGTCAAGTTAAGATAAAGGCTAGATTATAATAAAATTACAACAATTTTGCTAGGATATGTCAAAGTGTGCTACAAAGTTTTCTGCTGCTAACATAAACTGCATACGGCATATAATATTAGTATCCCCTGTATGATTGTGCACATAGTACATCAATTCAGTCTTTTGAAATGTATCTAAGGCCAAATTTTTTTTTAGAGTAGGGAATGGGTAAAACTCCCATCCGGTTTTTTTTTTTTTGTGTTCTGTGTCCTAGTTGGGAGATTTCCCTTAACTTCCTGCCCTAGAAAAGAAATGAGAGGAAATCTCACTGAAGTGAATGGAATTGCTGTCTTAGAGAGTCACCAGGACAAATAGAGGGCGAATCTACTCAGTGGGAACATAGGCAGCAATGGAAAAAAATTGCCTTTAGCTATAATTAAATGCTGACTGCATGTAAAAACTGATGTTAATCTTTGGTAGCAATGCAACCATCCGTGAGACCAATATGATAGGGTAACTCTTTTGCTCTTGGGCTTGGTCTTTACCATTAAGTGTTTTGTGCCAAGCACATCAAGGTTCCCTTTTTTATATCTGTTTATCTGTGCATATTTTTTATACAATAAACCTACTGTTCAACAAAATAACAATGTGGTTTAACTACAATGCATGAAGCACTAGTACAGGCATCCCATGACAAACCATTATGGGTTTTCTTGAGGTGTATCTGTGTAGCCAATAACCAACTTACCCTGGCTGGTAACAAAGCAACATTACCTGCCCCATCACTAGGCACACTCTATGCCTATGGGACAGCCTGAAGTTTTCACATTTGTTGGCATCCCCATGTACTCTCTGATGTCCATATTGGGTAACCCGCTGTTCTTATTGGGTTATGTTAACCTGCTCTTTATACTTGGTGAAACATTTTTTTACTTACATAGGCTTAATGCCTTTCCAGGCTCTTGGGGCCAAATATAAACTCAAACCAGGAGATATCTTTCAGTATCTCCAGATCAAGCATTTCCTCCAAATGTTTGCAGGCTGTCAGCAAGCACGACGGCGCACGGATCTGCGCATGCACAGAACGCCAATGCGCTCTAGTCTGCTGGCGCTAGGACCTGCGGCATCATTGGTGCCAGGCATTCGCGGACGTGCACCTGGCACCAATGATGGCGCAGGGCGCCCTATTTAAACCAGCTCTGCACAGACACTAGTTGCCGTATGGTCTATTTATCCTGTTTCTGTTCCTGTGTATCTGCTGATTGACTCGTTGCCGACCCTGCTTGATCCTGACCTCTGCTTACTATCTCCTGCTCTGACTCCTGGCTCGTTTGACTACTCTCCTGGATATTCCTATTGATCTGAACTCCTGTTACCGAACCCGGCAAGTGACCTGACTACTCTTTGCCTGCTGCCTTGTACTGCACTGACCCCTCTGTTACCGAAAACCGGCTCGTCTGACCACGCTTACCACTCTGCCATCCATCCGTCCCGCACGGATCTGGTTATCACTGCTCAGGCCTTTCCGCCTCTTCACGTCAGGTTCTCTACGAAGTATATACCTCTGGCGGATCCCTCTACCGCCCGGGCGTACTCAGGGGCCGCGATCTAGTCACTGTCTGCTCCAAGTCCATCCCCACCATCAGGGGCTCTGGTGAACAAGCAGACTGGGGCTTAGACTCCGCGCTCTGGGGAATCCTGTCCCGTGGATTGCTAGAGGTAACGTCAGGCGGTATCTGACACAAGCTCTTCACAGTACCTGTTCTCCCCCAAAAGTGGAAAAGCAATTTTGGTGCTTTGGTTGCTGCAGAGATTTGGAGCAAGACTTGGTCTAGCACGTCTGAGAGCCTGGAGCATGTGTTAGTTGTGGAGGCTAATTGTAAGTTTCTCCTCAGATGGTAT